ATAAAGCGATAATGAATGGCTCGAAATACTGTTTGTCCCCTAATGAAAACTCCTGTTGTTGGAAAACTGGGCCGTTACGTTCTCTCATAATTATAATTACGTGTTTCCAGATTCGTTTTAAGTTTCGACAATCGAATCGCTCTGTGCTCATTTTTAATCCCAAAATATCATTATATCATAATGATATCATTAATCATTTTGTTTCCTTCGCATTTCTAACGTTACATTCTTTGTCCTTGATGAAACGTGAATTCTTAAGATTCTCGGGTAAAATGTAGAAATTCTTAGAATTTCCCGGTTTTTGTATTTCGAATATATTTGATAAATATTTATTATTTTAAAAAATATCAATTTTATCAATATATAAATTTGTTAAAACAATATTTATTATTTTTTTAGTTAATACGTATTAATATAAAAATATATTAAACACATGTTTGCAACAAATCAACAACAAGATACTAATTTATGATACACTGATCTCATGTTTTCGCCATGAAATTTCCCACGTTACATTTATAGTTCAAGAGCGTTTATATTGAAATGATGCATACATATGTGCACATATTAAACGTGTTCATAAATATATGTATATGTATGAATATATATAAATATGAGTACATATGTTAACGTATTCATGAAACACCTTTAAAGGGCTAATTCTAAAAATCAAAATAAATATAAAAGTTAATATATAAAAACATCATAAATAATTATTTATTAATTATAAGCTTATTTATTAAATTATAAGCAATTAAAATTTCTGTTAAATGAAGCGAGTATAAATAGTTTCATTCCGTATTCATACGATGCACAACTAAATTGCTTATAACTTAAATAAACCTTAAGTGACGTTTTTATGTACTAATTTTTACGTTTGTTTTAGCTTTTAACACTTTGGATATACACATTTATTATCAGTTATATTCCTATGTCATCAATTTTCACGTCGACAAGTGTGTTTTATAATTTAACTTTATCTTATGTCATCTCAAACATCTCGTTCTTTGATTTTGATTTTTATTTCATGCTTTTGTTTGATCCTAGGATATTCTTCGTTTCTTTCTGTCTCCCTATTTTTCTCTTTTCTTCTTTTTTTCTTTTTTTTTTTTAGCATATTGTTCCTTTAATTCCACAAATTTCTTTTTTATCGAAATTGCAATTGCATTTTTTATTCTTGTAAATTCCCTCTTTGGAATCCTTTTTTCGTTTCTATCTTATATTATTGCAATATCTATTGTATTATTTTTACATAGTATTTTTTAATTTCTAACACTTTTTTGGCATTCTTTGTTTTATTTTTCTCATATTTTTTTTCCTTGAAAAATTACTAATTTTTCCTCCAATATCACATTTTATTCCCTGCATTGTGGAAATTTTTCTAATTCCAATTCCATTATTCCAAAGCAGCATATCTCCAGCATACCAAGTTACTTGCCCGTGAAAGATTATTTCCCAACAATGATGGACACAGAAATTGGAACTGGAAGAGAATCCTCAGAAACATCTACAATGGTTTAGATAGTCGCCAGAAACGATTTTGGAGAAAGTGACCACTGACTAGCCACAAAGTTCACATGCTGTCCACAAGAAATAGTCGGACTCAAGGGACAATTGATGGCATAAGCCAACTTCCAAAACTTCAATACTCATAAAAACCGAAAACGTAGAAACAAAATTCAAACTTTTGTGAAAAATACAGGTTCTTTCGAGAATGATGCGATGAAGTTTAAATGGATACCCATGTATTGCAATATAGAAAATTTTAATAAAACGTACAAGAATTAATAATAGTAATATATAATACATATTGATTTTATAAATCAAAAGTATAGATTGATTTTATAGATTAGACTAAAATGTGATTAAAAATTTATCCAAAAGGATTGAAGGATATCGTAGAAGGAAGCAATACAATGGTTAAATAATCAAAATTTAAAATTTAAAAATTAATCTTTAATTTCATTCATATTACATATTGAAAACAAATGAAATATTATACTCGGCTTCAGCATTATTTACAATATTTTTTAATTTTTTAATTTTTAAATTTTTTTAATTTTAATATTATTTATTTATTTATTTATTCAAAAATGCATTAAAAATATCTTAATTCGACATACATGTTAAAAACAAACAAAATATGGTGTATGACTCTATACATTGTAATATTAATTTCACAGAAATCAAGTTATTTTTCTTTTAAATAATTGTTTATTTGTAACTTGATTCATAATTTTTCTGACTAAATTTTTTAAAATATTGCTTAATAAATACACAAATGCAAAGAATACTTTATATAAAAAAAGAATGTAGTGATTCACAAAGTTTAAGCAACCTCCTTGAATGAATAATAAATGAGCGAGGGAAAAATGTTAATGACCCAAACTCGATTCTCCAGTTAAATTCAAGAGAATCCATTAGTAATTGTAACAATTCTAAATTCTAAAGAAGAAAGAAAATGCTATTGAATAAAATAACACGAAACAAAGAAGAGGAATCCGTTAAACGAATAAATCACTAATTCTTTGATATTTAAAAATTCAATGAAAGTATCTCAAGGTTATCCGGCCTTTAATCTATCAGATAAGACAAAAATCCGGATGATCGGTATCCAGATAAACGAATACCCACGTTGGAGAATTACTAAAGTCATTTTCTCAATTTAATAACGCCATAAGTTCAGGGTAAAAGTGTGTATAACGATCTGTGTAATATCATTGAAATTGTTAAGAGACACTTCGGCCTTCCGTTTAAAACCGTTCATCCCCGTCCAAGATTAAAGCACCACCCTCCACCCTCCATAAATTCTTAAATGAAAACGCTGGCTCCCGTTATCGTGCAATAAGCGCGACATTATTTTTTTTTTTTTTAACTTCGTTAATTGAAACACTGAAATGATACAAATTGTAAAAAAGTCACTATTTTTTAATTATCTCTTTTATACTTTAAATAAAATTTATTTGTTTATTAACGTCATATTAACCTTAATTCTGAAATTAAATATTTGTGAATAAAATCAGGTTATAAAATAACAATCATAAATAGATAAAATATTTAAAAATATTACAATTAATTTCATAAATAAATTTATAAATTATTTATTATACATTAAATTAAACTTAAATTATTATTTATTTATAAATAAAAATTGATAGAATTCAATTCTTTCTTGTTTACAGGATAACAATAGTTATTAATTCCATGATAAATGAAACGGTACCATCTTCGTTCTTTTAATTATTCAATTTGAATCTTTTCAAAGTATGAGAAAAAAGATCGTACGAGGAAAGCTTTTAAAACCAGAGACTTTAAGGGAAAAGAAAAGATGTACAGGAGATCCAGATAGGAAGGCTAAGGAAACGAGAATTCACTGATAAGGAGACACAGAGGACTAAGGAGAGATTCAGAGGAAGAAACACTGTGAAAAAGTAGATAGACAAAAGAAGAAAGAAATGCATAAAAGAGAAAAACTGAAAGAAGGAAGACTTTCAGAATCTATAAGCGGAAACTTAGTGAAGGAATGATGCGTGAAAAGAAAAAAATTTCTCTAAAAATCTATAAATAAAGATAAAGGATAATGCATGAAGAAAGGAAAAATTAAGAAAATATTAAACGTGACAGAAATTAAACGTACATAATATAAAAAATAAAAGGTAGAGAAAATATATAATTGCATAAGTTGTCATAATCTAACTCTATCGAGCATCTTGCGTAAAGTGAAATTATCTTTTACTTACGCTTATGTTAGGTCCGCCTTCCGTCATCGTTGCCGTGTTTCTTTTATGTTTTTCTTACTGATAGAAGCACACTCACTTTTTTTCTTGCACATTGCAGTTCACACTTTCGTTTTTGTTTTCACTTTCCTACTTTTCTCTCATTTCCTTTAATTATCGAATAACCCGTGTTAATAACTTCTTCGAGAATGGTACTGGTTTTACTTAATAACATTCTCGAATATTACGAAGAATGGACTTTACGACAATCATTTATATTTGTGAACATACGAAATTATCGATCATTAAAATTTATTTGACTTGATAACGATATTTGATTATTATTAACGATTATTATTAATGATTGTTATTATTCTATGATAAATGTTTAATCATAGAAAATGGAATTACTTCTATATTTTTACAAAAAATTTAATATGATTTTTTTGGTAATAAATATTCTCTGTAGAAAATTATTTTTACGATCTTGGTCAGATTTGATTTTCTTAAATTTCTTATCATAAATTTTTGTTTGCCTAGAGATTATTTTAAAAAAAGAAAAGTTAGGTGAAATATAATAAAATATAATTTGAAATAAATTATTTCAATCAACAGAACTTTTGAATCATATTTTTTTTGAGGCATATTCTTTGTGTCCTATTCTTTAAATTTTGAAATAATTTTTTAAAGTAACGCAAATGTAAAAATTATTTACGTTAAAACTTCAATATTTTTAACAAATATTTACCAATTCTTTTAAAAAAAAAAATTTGATGTTATTCTACATATTTTATATTTTCTATTTCTATTTTGTATTTTATTTTATATTTCAATTTCGCTTGATAAAATTTTATAAGATATATTATTAAAAAAAAATTTTCATATAAATCTCGTATGCATTATATCTCGTACGCAATTTTTTTTATTTAAAGTACTATCTTCATTGTCTGCATATTTTTTTATTTTCTGCTTTATATAGCAGATTAAATTACAATATTTTTAATCCCTAATTGTAATTCTATATAATTTTCAGATAAATCGAATTATATTGGCAACAATGAAAATGAAATTCTCGTCACATTTTAACAATTTTTAGCTGTTAAAAATAATTTGTTTAATAATTCGTTAAGATGATAATTTGATGAAAGAGTTATAAAATGCTTTATTTTTAACTTTTATCAACAAAAATATCATTCAGATAAATTTATTTGTTCCTTTTGTTATCTATAATTGGAAACTATGAAATGAAGATTCATTTTCGAAATCAATTCATTATTTCTTAATTCTCTTTCGAATTTTTCCTATGAAAATCCTTTGTATCTATATATACTTAAATTTGTTTGAGTCTCTGAAAAAAATATTAAGAAAATAAGCAGATTAAGAATAAGTTCAAAATATTTATAGGATAAATTCATAAAATATTATACATGAATATCTATTTATTCAATTGTTTTAAGATATTTGATGAAATATTAGTTTCTTAAAAAAAATAAATTTACTAATCTTAAATTATTTGTTGAGAGATAGTAAAAAGAAGAATGGATATGTAAACGCGGGAATATAAATATAACAAAAAAAAAATATTAATTTAAGAAATTTTTATGCAAGGAATAACTTGTGACATGTACAATCATTATATATTATCAATGTCTTTGAAATATTGCGAAAGATAGCGAATTTCTACAATCTTCGATAAATTTGAATACCTACGCATGCATACTAGTGTGATTCAATTTTTCTTCCAAGAAATATTCTTTATATTTTGTCATACAATGTGTACCATTCTCGTAGAATTCACAACTTCACTGAAAATAATATACGTATAAATATTCCTCAATATATCACACTTTCTCCATCACATAACTTATTTTAATTCTACTCATGACAAGCTCATTATTCGCTTTCACAATGTCAAATAAACTTTAAATGACGAAAAATCAAGAAACAATTCAAACTGCACACGTATCATCCACCAAATATCACGCTTCAAAAATCCACTCATTCTATGCCCTAATACAACTAATTCAACATACAGTATCGATAGTAATCGAATACTGAATAAAATCGAAAATTCTATCGATGCGATTCTATCACCATGACTCGTTTATCGATGATTTTGCGATAAACGATATACATCCATATCTACGATCAATAAACATCGATTACTCGATTCAAAATTTTGTTTCATAGAAAAACTGATCACATAAACAAAAATAACACAATAGACCGCCCGATTTACAAACAAAAGACCATCCACCTTCGACGGTCGGCGGCGTACTAATAACGGATAGCCACGGACCGCGGTGAGTCTGCCTTACCGGCGCAAGCGTCTCTTCGAAGGAAGCGCAGATCACTAATACTAATACAACGCCACCACGGGGATAGTACAGAACACAAACATACATCGATTGTATAGATACCTGTTGAATGCTGGGAGTCACTGACACGTTGGCGGTCAACTAGATCGAAAAGACGATGAAACTGGTATGAAGTATTAATAATTCTTTATAATCTGACGATTTTTTAAATCGATTTTACTCTTTTATTAAAACTTCTCGTCGATTTTTCGAAATAATTTATAGAATATTTTAATAATGATATGGAGAAAATACAAATGATAAACAATGTGTTAAAAAAGGAAAATTATAAAAATCATTTATAAAGAGAGAAAGAATATGTAAAATTGATAATTTTAATTATGATCAAAAATAAATACTTATAAGAAGTAAACATTCATTTATAATCGTGTTTTCTAAAATTTTAGAATCAAATAAGAATAAAATAACGGAGAACTTATAAAATTGAAACTAAATATAAATACTTGTATTTTATTTGTATTTTATTTATTCTCATTGTTCTCATATATTTTATTTCAAAGCTCTTTTGTTAATTTTATTAGCATACGTTGTATTTTAAGAACATTTTGTCATAAAATGATAGTTAGAATTGTCTATATCATGGACACAACTTAAGATCATGTAATTATTTTTAATATACATAAAAAAAAGAAATAAAACTACAGCAATCGTATTATTAATGCAATCTTACGTTCAAGATACTATGTAACTGTAATTTATAGTATTTACATTAATGACAAATGTTTTATATCTCCAATCTAAAACAGATTTATAACTCTCTGATGTATATGATAAATATGACTTTTGATAAATAAAAATAATTTGGGATGTTTAAGGATTTAATAAAAATTAAAAGATATTTTTTGTTTCATTATAATGATTTATTTATTATAAAATTATGCTTCCAACAAATTGTAAAGGAATATATGCATGCATGGAATCGAATCGACCGGACAAGCGATCATTAAAAAAATTTTGTAATTGATTGAACATTGATACACAGTTCTGTATATGTCCCATCCATTCTGTACACGTAGATTTATATCTCTAAGTTTGAAGCAAGTCACTGTACATATGAATATTTTCTTTATTACCATTTTTTGCTTTTATTTTTTATTGAATAACTCTTAAATTCGTAAAACTTTATGTAAGGAAGAATAAAGATATTTTTAGAGATTCAAAAGCTGCCTAATAATAATTTCTCCTTTTCTATTGGGATATCCTTGCTCTTCCTTACATAAAACATTAAATCGTTCATCGCATATGTTTATCTTTCTACCTACAAAATACTCGATTGTTGGCTGACTTTCTTATCATAAAAAACGTATAAAACATTGCTGAAAATGAATCTTTAAACTCACTCGAGGTAACCCATACAGAGTTACAGAGAATAACCTACATCGAATGAAATCAAATTTCATTTTCTTTTTTCTTTCATTTTCTTCGTTTTTTTTTTGTTTTTTTGTTTTTTTTTTTGTTTTTTTTTTTTTTTTTTTTTTTTTTTTTTTTTTTTTTTTTTTTTTTTTTTTATATCATTAAGCTTGGCGCAATACGAAAGCGGAAGTCAGAAAAAGTCGATAATACTCAACCAACGATGAGCCAGTAACAGTCTTCTGAAAATTTAAGCACAAGAAACTCGAATGGTCTTCTGATCTACAATGAAATCTGTAAATTTTAAAGATGTATCTTAAATGATATAAGTGAAAGAATAGATGCAATAAGAGACGGAACTTGAAAACATGCATTATCGGAGAGACATTTCTCTCAAACATTATTATCTACTTTTTTCTTTTTTTTTCTTTTTTTTTCCTTTTTTTTTTCCTTTTTTTTTTTTTTTTTTTTTTTAGATTGACTTCAACGATTGAAAAATACAATGTAATCCCGATAATCCATATTAGTCCATACAGGTACAAAGATATGAAATTAAAGAAAAAAATAAAAAAACTATACCCACAATTGCATCAATAAATGCAATTTAATTACTAATTTTTTAATTAGGTATATTACTGAAAAATGTAAACCTATTTCATGATGAAAAGTTTTTACTAAAAATATTTTTATTATTAAATATATATTGCGTAAAATACAGTGTTTTTAATAAAATCGATGATCCAAACAAATTCGCTCGAATTTACGAGGTTCATCGAGATTACACTGCACTTGATAATAAAAAATCGACAAGAATACTCATATTGTTTAATGGTTTCCATAACAAAAACAGCCATTCTCCTTCTGAAGGGATGATTAAATAGTAAATAATTCTTTTTTTCTTTTATATTTATCTCATTTGGTTTTAATTTTCGTTTAATAATAAGTGCTAACCGTATCTTTCAACAAGTTCATCCCTTACAATGTTTAAACATAACAGTCTGCCAGCAGCGCAAAGACAAAAGATATTTCGCTTGGATCGCTCTTTTTGTCTCATTAAATTTCATTATTTATGAAGTAGAAATGGAATCTCCATAAACTCCGATAAACAGGAGTAACATGAGGAAATAGCGAAAACGCCTAAGTAAAATTGATGAGGGCACATTTGATCAACCAACAGGTGTCACACACATTTAATTCCCGCTCGCGCTCCAATTCTTTCAATTTCTTCTCGACTCTTAAACTTTTTAAATCCTTCATTTTTTTTTTTTTTTTTTTTTGTTTTTCTTTGCCCGCAAAAAACTAGTATACAATGTTGCTCTTTTTTTTTTTTTGCCGCCAAAAAACTTTGTTTCAATGTTGCTTTTTTTTTTTTTTGCCGCCAAAAAACTTTGTTTCAATGTTGCTTTTTTTTTTTTTTGCCGCCAAAAAACTTTGTTTCAATGTTGCTTTTTTTTTTTTTTGCCGCCAAAAAACTTTGTTTCAATGTTGCTTTTTTTTTTTTTTGCCGCCAAAAAACTTTGTTTCAATGTTGCTTTTTTTTTTTTTTGCCGCCAAAAAACTTTGTTTCAATGTTGCTTTTTTTTTTTTTTGCCAGCAAAAAACTAGTATACAATGTTGTTCTTTTTTTTTTTTTTTTTTCCTTTTGTTTAACGATTCTTAATTATAGGCCTCTGGCAGAGGCGATTCTTGCGAATGCGTTCCACAGGCATCTAGGCACGACAGATATAAAAGTAGTACGTTCAGGAATATTTAGATTTATAACAATCCATATTCTAAAATAATGCTATCACGTTCATCTAAACTCTAAAACGACTTTTCATTTCTTTTTGCAATTTTTTCTTTTATTTTTTCTTTTTTTTTTTTTTTTTTTTTTTTTTTTTTT